ACTCAAAACTGGTTTAGCCAAGCAGGGGTGGCACACACCTTTAATCCCTCCACTGGGGAAGCAGAGGCAGGTGGATCTCTGTGAGTTTGAAGCCAGCTTGATCTACAGAGTGGGTTCCAGGACAGCCAGGGCTAAACCTTGCCTCAAAAAAAGGTTCTTAAAAAAAGAAAGAAAAGAAAACTTACATGGTTTAAGATGGGTCACTCCATGTCTCTATGTACCCCAGTTTCTTTAGGGTGAGGAATACAGTCACATCTATAGCCTACAATTGTTTCAGCGTTAGATGAGTCAATGCAGATACAGTACTGATGACGTGACCAGGACATAGAATTTGTTTAACAGTATGCCCCACACATCTTGGACATAATCAGGGGGCCACCGTGGGCCATCCATTTGAGATTATGAAACGACCATGCACTTCTGTCCTTTGTTTTGCTGTTCTGAAAAGACTGTGAATGAAAAGATGTGCTAGGAACGTGAACTGTAATACATAGCGACCACCTTCAATTCCAATTCGTGCTTAGAAATCTAGGGTTGCTGAGACAGCTGGGCTAAAACTCTTACATCCAGAATAATTTCTAAGGTGAGTAATGGTAGGGCTTCCATTTTCCAGGTGCGGACAATTGAGGCCATGAAATGTTAAGAGAGTGGCTCATAAACTGACCGACTCCAGGGTTTCCTGTCTTCATTCCAGCCTGGGGCAAGCTCCAGGTTGGTATGATGGCCCAAGAGAAAGAAGTCTGAGTCAGGCAAGTCCAGACCTCCATGTGTGTTCTTCCCACTGTGCTGCTCCTCCAGCCCCACATAAGAAACACAGAGGAGTGAAGCTTGTTGACCCAGCAGACCAGGAAGAGCCACACAGTCCCGCCACCTGCATCTCTCCAGCTGCAGAGAGATGAGCCTCAGAGCCAGGCTCTTAAGCAGGACCCCAAAAGGTGAGGTTTAAAGACTCTCAAGTAGAAGGTCAGTTGGGGGAATCCATGTTTTTAAAGAGAGACTTTTCCTGGGAGTTGCTGATGAGATCATGACCTTGGGCAGTTTCCTAGGAGGGCAGGTGTGCTTTGCTCCTGTGCCCACTGATGCCTGAGCTCCCCGTGATTACACTCTGCCTAGCTACGTATTATCATTCAAAGCTGTTTCTCCTGGCAAGATTCAGGCTTTGTTGTTACTGCCAAAAAGTTGTGGGGTCTGTGCCAGTTGGTTTGGGGGATTTGGTTTTCCCCCAACACACAGAATATGTTATTTCCTGTCCACAGAGATACCTTTTAAAATGTCTCTGCTTTGCTTAGCCTTTGAAGGTTCCCTCTGCAGAAGTCAATCCCAGTATCCCCTGGGGCTTATCTTTTGACAGTTCCAGTAAGGAAGAGGACAGAGACCATGAGGGAGGTAATAGGAAGGGAGGCCGTGGTGAATGTCACAGCCTGGGAGGGCAGGACACCAGTGGAGAGAGAAGCCAGGTCATGTCCCTCCCTTCACTGATTCCCCAACATGCATCAAGAGCCAGGATGTGGGGGTGCTCTGCCAGAAATAACCAAATGTCTGTGAGTCTGGTGTGGGTGGTTAGGAGACTGACTGTGTTCCCTATTCTGCAGCCACACTTGTGCACACTGAGAGTGCACAGTGCTTCTGGGAGCTCCCTCTATTTCCGACCTTAGTCCTTGCAGCATCCACATCTACCACCAATCTCAGCCTCCAACCCGTGTTGAAAACCTGCAAGAAGATCTTTCTCCACTGAGGTCTTAAAGACATTTTAAATGCATTTAAATGTTTGGAATACAGACAAAAAGTAGAATATCACCCAAATTAAATTTAAAACCTGAAGGATTTTTTTTTTAATTTCTCTTTTTTATCCCCTGGAACGACTCTCATATAAAGTTGAGCCGTACAAAGATGACATCCAGTGTGGAGGGTGTTATGCCCAGATTGTGACCGCAAAGAGACCACTGAAGACCGTGGATGTCCAGAATGCAACAGCAAGGTTTATTCTACAGATACAAGTCTAGATAGGGAACTCATTCCTGCATCCAATACAGTGAGGCAGGGAGGAGTCGCTCTTTCTTTGTGAGGCTAGCTTTTTAAAGGCAAAAACCGCAAGCCCTTCAGGGCGGTTGGGGGTTTGACACGGATGCAGCTCAGATTGGTTTAATTTTATCTCTGTTCTCTTTTAATTGGGTGAGGGTATGTAACCTTTGAATTTACTGGTTGGGGGTTACAATTATCATTTTGGGGGCTGTCTTGGACAAGTCCCAGGCTTTGTCCTTGAGCTGCCGTGGGGGCTGGCTGGCCTAGCACGTACTGGCTGTGGGGGCTGGCTCAGTGGTCCAGGCTCTGTCCTTGACTCACGCACATAGCTCTAAGTTGGTGAGGGGTCCCAGACAGTAAACAACTGGCTGAACCTTGAGCAGTCAGAGTACGTGCAGAAAGGAAGCTACTGCAAGGACTATGTCTTTTGTTCATGACCCTCCTAGAAACTGCTTGCTCAAGTCTCAGGAAACTGAAATTGAGGCCTGATCTCTGAGAGAAGACTGAGCAGCCTGTTATGGCTTCTGCCTGGTCCTTTCCGAGGACTGTCAGAAGTAGCCAGAATGGCCTGGCTGAGAAGCTGTGTAAGACTCCTTCACACCATTGAGAAAGACCCCCAAGGAGGAGAAGAAGGCATTGCCACTTTGGGTGTTGTGACACAGTGCTGGGGTGGGGGTGTTACCGGGATTTTGACTTGCTGGGGAGTCTTCAGAACAGAACAACCTTCCCACTGAGGAAAACGCACAACTGACTTAGCTGGACGTGTGCACTGGGCCTAATCTGCACCCCTAGCATAGGGTAGAGTCTTGGCCCCATGTGACCTAACAGGGAGACAGGCAGAGTCGGTTCCAAATTCATAAGTCTTCTCCTCAAAAAGGAGAAGACTTAATAACTTGTTAATAACTTGGAGGTTATGATTAGGCATGTCTTGGCCACTGAGTCAATTTGACAACTGCCAATTTAGAGATAAAAGATGGCTACTGCTAACCTCGGGGTTGTCAAAATCACTAGGAAATAACCCTCCTCTCCCTTGCCACTTCAAATCCCAAGCTAACTGTTCCATTTTGCTTTAGATCAACTAGCTGGCATTCTGTCTAGATCATTATATCCTCAACATTTCAAAAACGTCCCTTGTACCCTTAAAATAGTTCCCCAAATTCCAGGAAATTGGCCATTATGCTGCATGGCCCAGTTGATTATATAAGCTGGGTTCATGAAGGAACACTCAAATGGAGTGGTAACACTTAGGAGGGCTTTCGCTATGCTGGGCACTTAACGTGACTCTTTTCTAATCTTCAGAACCCAGGCGACTTCCATAACTCATTTTAGAAGTTGAAACTCATGCAGGTTCAGCAATTTTTTCCTTTTTATGATTCCACATGGCTAATTGATGATCTAGGCAGAACACAATCCTAAGCCCACTGGGCTTTCTTTCTGCTATGTCAAGCTGCTTCATTATCCAATGTTTTTTTGAGACAGGGTTTCTCTGTGTAGTTTTGGTGCCTGTCCTGGATCTCGCTTTGTAGACCAGACTGGCCTCAAACTCACAGAGCTCCACCTGGCTCTGCCTCTCCAGTGCTGGGATTAAAGGCATGTGCCACTGCCCAGCTTCAATAATATATTTTTAATCATAAATTAAAGGGAGAGACATTTCATCACTTAAGCTCCCTGATAGTTTTCAATCTGGAGCAACACAGGTAAGCCTCTACCATAGAGAGAAGTTACTCATCACCCTACAGACAAACTCGAAGTTTAACTGTGGTGCTATCCACAGTAGAGCATAGAATTAACATGGCTGTGTTACTGTGGAGTGGACACTGTAGAACACAGAATTAACATGTCCGTGTTACTGTGGAGTGGTCACATAGAACACAGAATTAACATGGCTGTGTTACTGTGGAGTGGTCACATAGAACATAGAATTTACATGACTGTGTTACTGTGGAATAGTTACAGTAGAGTATAGAATTAACATGGCTGTGTTACTGTGGAATAGTCACAGTAGAACACAGAATTAGCATGGCTGTGTTACTGTGGAGTGGCCACATAGAACACAGAATTAACATGGCTGTGTTACTGTGGAGTGGTCACATAGAACACAGAATTAACATGGCTGTGTTACTGTGGAATAGTCACAGTAGAACACAGAATTAACATGGCTGTGTTACTGTGGAGTGGTCACATAGAACACAGAATTAACATGGCTGTGTTACTGTGGAATAGTCACAGTAGAACACAGAATTAACATGGCTGTGTTACTGTGGAGTGGCCACATAGAACACAGAATTAACATGGCTGTGTTACTGTGGAGTGGTCACATAGAACACAGAATTAACATGGCTGTGTTACTGTGGAATAGTCACAGTAGAACACAGAATTAACATGGCTGTGTTACTGTGGAGTGGTCACATAGAACACAGAATTAACATGGCTGTGTTACTGTGGAGTGGCCACAGTAGAACATAGAATTAACATGGCTGTGTTACTGTGGAGTGGCCACAGTAGAACACAGAATTAACATGGCTGTGTTACTGTGGAGTGGTCACATAGAACACAGAATTAACATGGCTGTGTTACTGTGGAGTGGCCACAGTAGAACACAGAATTAACATGGCTGTGTTACTGTGGAGTGGTCACATAGAACACAGAATTAACATGGCTGTGTTACTGTGGAATAGTCACAGTAGAACACAGAATTAACATGGCTGTGTTACTGTGGAGTGGTCACATAGAACACAGAATTAACATGGCTGTGTTACTGTGGAGTGGCCACAGTAGAACACAGAATTAACATGGCTGTGTTACTGTGAAATGGTCACATAGAACATAGAATTAACATGGCTGTGTTACTGTGGAGTGGCCACAGTAGAACATAGAATTAACATGGCTGTGTTACTGTGGAGTGGCCACAGTAGAACACAGAATTAACATGGCTGTGTTACTGTGGAGTGGTCACATAGAACACAGAATTCACAGGGCAGGAAATCCAGTCTCGCCTTCTTCAGGGTCAGGCATGAGTGGCTCTCCTAATACACAGCAGAAAGGAGGGATAAGCACAATGGAAAGATTGTAAAGATAGAAGGCAAGGAAGAGAAACCCAAGTATCTATCCCTAAAGGACAGGAAAGCACAATTAAACAAAACTATTAAAGATATAATTGTGGAAAAGCTGTAATTATAAGAAAAAAACTGCATTCTAAGAAAGATGAGTATAATGCTCCCTGAAATAAAATCATTTGCCTGACTGGAGTCCTACTTTGTCCTGGTATGGTCGGACTATTGCACACTAGCCCAACCTGGTCGGGGAGAGGGTGAGCGGTCAAAGCACATCAGGGTGCAGGAGGATCCTGGGCATCGGTGAGTGTGATGGCAAAGAACTCCTGGGAAACTGTGTGTGAAAACAGCTCGTTTATTAGGAGGGGACAGGGAACAATTATACCCCAGGAAGAATGGCCAGTTGGATCCATGTGGTGGTATGTTATTGGTTGAGGCAAGAACATGGACGGTGATTCATTTGCATACTCAGGAGCAGCAGGGAACGTACCTTATAAGGTCATATAGAAAAGAAAGGAAGTCCAGCCTAGGATGTTTCAGTGGTCAGACAAGCAAGCAACCATTCCTCCGAGCCTTGAGATGCAAGCGCTTATCAGTTGCTACGTGTACCAGGGCATGTCCCCACCTGGGGAAGCTAACTGCTGGGGTCTGTTGGTGCCCAGGCAAGGTGGGGGAGCAGCCATCAAAATAGAAGCAAAGAAGCTCCATGGATATGTTGCTGTCATTCTATAAATATTTTGTGTGTAATCTGTACTCAAACTAGTGGGAGCCCCAAACTACATGTGTGCAAGGGTCACAAATGTGCCTTAATTAAGAAGATGCTTGCATTGGATGGACCCGTAGGGAAGTCTATGGGGTATTTTCTTGATTGATGATTGATGTGGGAGGCCCCAGCTCACTGTGGTTCCTGCCAGGTCTGGGAAGGTGATCCTGGGAAGTGTAAGAAAGGTAGCTGAATGCAAGCCTGAGAACAAACCAGCAAGTAGCATCGCTCACTGCCTTCTGCCTCAGTTCCTGCCTTGACTTCCTCCAGTAATTGAAGATGATTGGGATGTGTAAGCCAACAAGTAAACCTTTTTTCCTCCGGGTTGCTTCAGTCATGGTGTTTATCACAGCAACAGAAAGCAGACTAGAACAATGCTAGTCCACCAAAGAATGACTAATGGCAAAGCCTTGGCTCAAATAGGAAATTCTGGGTATAGATGCCCTGAGATAGCTGCGGGGGACATATTCATGATCTGCCCCTTCGGTTCTTTTTGGTCTAATTGTTCCTGTGTTCTTCCTTAGCCTAGGTAATGTTTGAGCCGACACATCTTCACCTGGCTTGCCATGGCAATATAAAGGCCAGAAAATTTGAGATGACTGTAGCAGGGACTTTCCAAAGTCTTACTGATAGAAAGAAGAATCAGTGTGGGCCGGGGATGGCACTTGGCTCTAACCCAAGACACAAGTGTCCACAGGCCTGATTCCCTGGGATTGGAAAGCTGTATGACAGTCTAAAGGTGACACCTGGATTAAAAAACCTTGAGCAGAAAGGGCAGGACTCTAGGCTTGTTGACACAGCAGAAACAGGAGACCAGGGCCAGGATTGGACCCCACCTCAGACCATATCTAGTATGAGACACTCTCAGGACAATGAGGATGAGTATTCAGGTTCCTCAGCCCATTTAGTTGAAATTCCCAATTCTGTAAACCATTTCCTGCCTTCAAAACTTCAATATTCCTCCTGGCCATTGTATCACCAAACACTAGACAGTTTATTCCTTTGTGTGTCGATAACCAATAAGATGAAAGAGTATAGAACTCAAATATAGTCCTCTTGCTATTATATTAGGTTAACCGGGTTGAGTTCTTTCTTAATCTTCTTCCGGTCACTTAACACAGAGCGATATATTTGGACACAGCCATACTTATTGCCTACATAAGTATTTCAGCACCCTACCATCAGCTGTGTCCCACGCTGAGTAAAGCGGAGAGAGCTAGTTGAGTACCATCATTCGTCTCTCTCTACTTCCTAACTGTGGTTCTACGTGACCAGCTGCGGCAGGCTCCTGCCACCGTGGGTTCCCCGTCATGATGGACTGCACGCTCACACTGTGAGAGGAAATAAACCCTTCCTTCCTTCCTTCCTTCCTTCCTTCCTTCCTTCCTTCCTTCCTTCCTTCCTTCCTTCCTTACCTTGTTTTTGGCAGGTATTTTGGTCACCTCAACGAGAAAAGTAACTAGTATAGATAGGTAAAGGGCCCATTCAAGATAACCAGGAAAGCAGTGGAGAGAGATGAGAACAGAACAAAGATTCTGAGTAATGTCCTAACCACTGAGTCATGGAAACAAAGCTAAAGGGCGTACCTTATAAAAAATTTCACATTATGAACCACATGGAAAATTTTAAGAACCAATCTGAATTTCAAAGTTTTCTTCTCATGGGCGTGCACACCAGCCTCTACCTCAGTTCATTGTGCGTTTGACTGCTGCACACAAGGAACAACTGTAGCGCCTTTCTACTTTGGATAAAAAGGCAAGTTCAAAAACAGCTAGCACAGATAGGCTTAGCTATGGACAAAGTTCCTTCCTCCCAGGAAAACATGACACGGAATGACTCACACACTCTTTGGTTGCCATCCAGAGGTTGGCCCCACCTCATCCATCTGAGCTAAAAATGGCTGGAGATTTGATTTAAGGATGATGTAGGGCAGGACATTCCTGGCTGAGTAAATCTGTGTCCCAGGGCTAGACAGCATTGCTTGGAATGTTCTTCCCATATCCAAGTTTTATTTCATAGTGAGGGTGCAGACCGTAACAAGAAACAAGTCCATGAAATGTGTGTGGGATCTGCGGCTACATAAACTCTTGCACTAGTTTTCTGAGAGTGCTGTAAAAAGTTACCATATATCCAGTGGCTTTGACGTTTATTACCTCACAGTTCTAAAGGCTAGCAGGCAGCAGTGACAGTGCAAACAAGTATGAACAGGGCCATGTTTTTGTCTTCTAGAGTTCCGGGGAGAATCTACCCTGAGTCCTGTCATCTTCCACCATCCCTGGCAGCCTCTGATCACGGCTTCATCACCCACTCTCCTTCTCTGTGGTCTCTTAGCCTTCATCTTTCTGTGTGTCTATCTCTAAATCTCTCTTCCCTGTCTAGATGCCAGTCATTAGAGTCAGGGCCTACCCTACCCATCTTGTCTGCAAAGACCCTATTTCCATATCCGGTCACACCCCCGTACAGGGAGGTCAGTACTTCATGTTTTTTTTTGACGTGGGACACAATTCAACTTTCAATAGGTGGTATCCAAGACTCTCACTCTGTTCTTCTCTTTGGACCATGAATACATGAGTCCTTCCACGGCTGTGCACAGCATCTTTTGTATTTATTCATAGTTAGAGGCGAGGGAGGCAGAGCAAAAGGAGGAGCAAGCTATAAGATGCTGCAGGTCCCTCCTGTCACCGTGTGCTGTATCTAGTAGTTATTGTTTGTATCTGTTTGTTTGTTTGTACATGGTACGTCCCTCTCCCCAGGTACTGAAACTTCTCTTTCAGTTCCCAACCGGGAATTGCTTTTCTGTCTCTTAAATCCTGGTTCCAACACATACAGAATAGGTTGTCTTTTGGGGATAATCTCAGTCCTGAGTTAGGACATTTTTTCCCCAGCATAATAAAGCCAAGATGGAAGTTCACATAAGCAGGAGACTGAGACCTTTGACTGGATACCAAAGACGGAGCATATGATCACAAAATAGTTCACTTTTTTTTTTACAGTAACACCTTAATTGCTAAAAAGATTTCAATTTACACTTGCTATTTTATCTTATATACATCATTAGGGTCATATCCTTCAAGGTCCTATCTTCGTATTAGGATGTTGTTGAAATGGGTACACTTCTCCCTTTCTTTTCAGAATGAGGACGAGGGAGAGGTCATGTCCCCTTGAATTGAACTCCAGCATTTATGCAGAATAGAGGATTCAATTTAGACCTCACAGACATTGTTCGCTGTTGGCTCTGTCACAGAGTGATTTTGGCATCACATGCAAATGTCCACCTCAGAGGTGTCTGTCCAGAGGAGAACCCAGCTGGAGGCTGGAGACTGATCTGGGGGAGAGATGTCACTCAAAAAGCTCCAGGTAGTCGGGTGGCTTGTCTTGTTGACCACAGGGGTACATCAGGAGTTCCTTCCCCAGGGAGGTTATGGGCTCTTCCTGTCAATCAAAGCACAGAGTCAGGCGGCAGCTGTGTGGTAGATGGCCTTGCTAGCTCCTCAGAGAATATCACTCCTCTATTCTAGATTTATGCAAACCTATATTGGCTTAAAACTGTTTTCCTCCTGCTAGCTTCCCTTCTCCTGCTGAAGCCCAAGTTCTAGCATAGAACCTTCCACAGATGTGATCAGTATGAGCATCTCCAGTATTCTCAGCTCCAGTAGGATATGTCTGAGTATGTCAGGAGGATAGGATAAAGGACAGAGAATTAAGATTCCTTATTATCGGGGGGAAATAATGTGCCACCCCCTCCCGCTGCTTGCTCTTGAGCTATATGCCTAAGCCATGCCTTTCTTTATTATATATCTGAATGACACTAATTCCCAAGGCAAATTAAGCATATGAACGTCTTCACCTTGTGATATTCCACCAAATCTGCCAGGGTGGCGTGCTGCAGCTGGTCCACACCCAGGAAGCTGTAAGAGTCGGCAGATGCATCTATGAGGAAATGTTTGCAGCCCTCCTCAGACAGGTAGGACAGGGCATAGCCCTTGATCTTCTCACTGACTCGGATCAGAAAACTGCCCGGCACGCCTGTGCTCAGAAGTTCATTTGCTTTCTTTAGTGTGAGAATCCCTGTGGAAAGGGGAAAAAAAAAAGTCATTGCAGCAAAGTCCCTATAGACCACTCCTCTGTTGCCCCTCCCTGTATGAGTAGAGTTTGGTGAAAGGCAGAGCTATTCTGTGTGTGTTTTGAGGTCCTCGGGAATCAGTAGAAACAAACAGACAGACAAAACCCTTGGTATTTGATAACTGGACAAACACAAAACAAATAGTTCGTCAACTTGCAACAAGCTAGGTCATACTGGAGGAAGGGCCTTCAGCTGAAGAATTTCCTCCATCAAGCTGGTCTGTAGGTCATTTGCTTGAGTACTGATTGATTGGGAGGGCCCATCCCTCTTTGGGTGGTGCCACCCCTGGCGGGTAGTCCTGAGTTGTATAAGAAACCGATGTGAGCAAGCCAGTAAGCAGCACTCCTTCTTGGTCCCTGCTTCAGTTTCTGCCTCCGGATTCCTGCCATAAGTTCCCACCCTGCCCTCGATGACGTGTTGTGATTTGGGAGTTACAAGCTGGAATATACGCTTTCCTCCCCAAGTTGCTTTTGGTCACTGTTTTAATCATAGCAACAGGGAAGCAAGCTAGGAGCGACAATGAAAGAACTGTAATTACAAACAGTTTCACTTAGACCACTTAAGAAAGTCTGGTGTGTTATCTTGATGGCAGTGTTGGGATTTGTCAGATCCGAAGTGAACTTCGGATGCTCTTATAGGACCACCACTGTCTAATTACCAAGGAGAACTCTGGTCTGGGAAGTGACCTGACTTGGTCTAAAATAGTAAGTAGTTCTCCAACAGAAGCACATGGGAGATTAAAGCCCCCCTGCTGTGAAGTTAAGGTGGCTTGCATAGAGGATGAACTAGGAGAAAGACCCACCCTGAATGTGGGTAGCATTGTCCCATTGGCTAGTAGATGAGATGGAAAGAATGAGAAGAAAACTAGTTGAGGGCTTGAATTCTCTTTTCTCCACTTCCACATCCAATATGATGTGACTAGTCTCTCCCACATACTCCCCATGTCAGTGTTTCCTGGTCACCATGATGAGAAGAGCCTCCCTCTCACTCCCACTGCCAGTGTTTCTCTGTCATGGAACCAAATAAATCTTCTCTCTCACGGTATTACTGTCAGGTACTGTGTTCACAATGATGTAAGAAGTAACAGATACAGTTGTCGTGGGTGTGGGTGATACTTCTATTCACAGGGGAGAGGCCAGGGCTGCTACTGATCATGCACAAGGCAGTCTGGCACTGTAAAAAGTCATCCAGCACAAAGCATCAATGGTGATAAAGTTGATACAGCCTAGTCTAGGAGGCCCTACAGGTTAGTCACAGAATCAGAAGATACTCTGGTCTACTGAGTGCCAGATCCCAGTACCAGGTCTTCCGAATTCTACTAAAACTAATTCACTGGTCTTTGAAAGGCTAGAGCTTATATATATATATAAGCTTATGTATATATACGTATATATGTATATACACAAAGGGGTAAGCTCTACATACAGACATATATGAGGCTTTATGTAGAGAGGTATAATTAAGATGTCTCCTGAATTCCCACTCTCATTTCCCAGTTCATAGGCTTTGACTCATCCTCCATTTGACTCATCCTTCAAAATTCCCTTCTTATTTCTATTATAGTTCATGAAATGAATGGACAGCATTGTAAACATACAGAAAATAATCAACAGCACAGCTTGCTGAATTACCCCGTGGACTCTGATTTGGGAGGGAGGAGCAATGTTCTTTTCATGTTCACTCTGCTTTGCAGCAGACAGAAGCTCCTGGCTTCTCTTGTTCCACCCTTACTTTGCTGCTGATATTCAAGTTCTGACTATTAAGGAAACAAATAGAAGCCTTCCTCGTGGAAAGGAAATGGGTTTTCACAGCCCTTCTAATTGCTAGTGATTTTTTTAGTTCACTAAGTAAGCCTCAGCCACCCAGAGCACAATGTTAACAAACAAACAAACAAAAACCTCTGTAAATAAATCTTCAATGAGAGGAAGAATTTAAAAAACCCCATTTCCCCCAAGTCAAGATCAACCCACCAACACTTCTCCTACCTGCTCTTTGCCCATCACTGTTCAGGAAGATGATGGCCCCAGTCCTATACCACAAAGCCCAGCATGAGAGCTTGTATCAAGCACTGGGGTTGGGAAAGTGTGGATAGATCCCTCTACTCAGATAAGAAATGGCATCCAAAGGGAAAGAAACCAGGGCATCTCTCCCAGAGAGCACAGCTCTATTGCTGTGCCTCTCGGAAAGGCTGCTGATTCATGTCGATCATAAACATCCACCATAGTTGAAATATGAAATAGCCTCTCCCCCAACTCTTCCCAGCTCACGTCTCCAATGCTTGCTTTCTGGATGCTGGTGCCATTTGGGGGAGATTGTAAAACTTTGGGAGGTAGAGCCTAGCTGGAGGAAGTAACTAGAGGGATGTCCTTAGGGGCTGTGTCTTACACTGCTCTTTTGCTTCTTCTCTTCCTCTCCTTCCTGTCTTCCCTGAGATTAGATCTTCTGCACATGCTCCTGTCCTCAGGATGTTCTACCTATGTGCATGGTGCCAAACACCAGGCTTGAACCCTCCAAGATGAGGAATGGATACTGTCTCCTTTCAGTTGTTCTTGATGGAATTTTGGTCACAGCAATACCAAGTATGAACATTCTACCTGTCAGTCACTGTTCTAAACTTTCTCTGTGGCACCCAGGCAACAGTGACTCCATAGTGACTGAGTGAGCGTCTCAGTTCAGAAGCTGCACTGTCTGTGTCCAAAGCTCTAATAACGGCCCAGCAGACACAGGCTACTGATTTCACTGTCTCTTCTGACTTTCTATACATCTCTGGTTCCATGGATAAATTGTCTAAAAGACAGCTGTAAGTTGTAAGAAGGCCACCAACAACCATTCTCTGCCAGGACTACCCCATGACGGAAGTTAGAAGACGCCATATTACATTGCCTAGGAAAGGAGGACTATTTTTCACGGACACTGCAAATCTCCCTTCAGAAACAAGGACTTATTAAACTCCTGTCTGGAGGGAAAGTAGTATTACGGAAAATCATTTCTTATTACAACCAAACTTACTGACAGATGAAGTCTTTAGTTCTAAGTTCCTTCAACAGAATGGATAGATGTGTATAGTCAATGATATCTAAGTAGTACCCAGATGTATATGGATTCATAAAAAGAAAGATCTTCTGGAAAATTAAAGAGGCTATTTTTTTCCCTAAAATCAGGTGGTTTAGTAAGACTAAATCAAAGTATCTACAGGCCCTCTGACCTCTGCAATCATCACCCATTACACACTATCTTAGCACTATCTAATCTCCTAAGACACCAGAACACAATAAAGTGATTTTGCAGTAAATGCCAGGTCATAATGCAATCTCCTTGCAGATCACAGGGGTGAGGACAGGCTCAAAGGTGAGGGCCGTGTGCAAGAGGGTGGTTGCTTTCTACATGCTTAGCCATGTAGTTCACTTTACTTAGCACAGGCTCTTGCATCTAAAAACATAGGTTAATGTAAATGTTTCTTCACAGAGGTCCTCAGGGGACAAGGGAAGTGGATGCTTTGAGGAGCCATGGCCACTGCTAGCTTCATGAGAGCCATGTCTGTGAAAGATAGGAATTCTTGAGTACAAAGCCAAGTTCGAAAGTCAGGTATACTGGTCAGTGTGGTGTGAGCAATGTCCTCACAGACTTTGAATTTGCACACTGCATGTCTCTAAGAATTATGAAAGAAGCAGTCTTCACCCCACCTCTCAATTCATGACACTTGGGGGGCTGCCTCTGGGAATCAGCAATCTTCACACATTGTAAAGAAACCAAAGCAATCTGAGGTCCTGGAAGGGGGAGGGGAGTTCTGTGAGGGCAGAGAAAGAGAATGCCATATTGCTTTTATTTATTTGTTGGTTTGTTTATTGAGACAACTTCTCTCTAACAGCCTAGGCTGGCCTGGAGCTCACAGAGATCTGTCTGCCTTTGCAGGTATTAAAGTCATATGCTACCATGTCTGGCTAGTATTCAGTAAGTTTAATGGGATAGATTTCTACCAGGAAAATAGTCCATATATTTTAAGAGTAGAATCTAGCTAGAAAGTAGCAGATGGATGTGAGATGTCGCTGCATGAGGTCTCATGGGCAGCAACTGTCCCTAAAGGGTAGGGGCACAGCTAGAACTGAAACTTCTGGGAGTGTGAACATTGGTATACAGGCCCAATAAGTGGACGTGAAACCAGAAGGAAGTGGAACATGTTGTGGGACATTTTGATCACATTCTGACACTCCCGAGATTGCCAATAAAGTTTGCTTTGAATCAGAGGGCAAAGCTAACTACTACTGACCAAAATTAGCCATAGAGATTTTGGAGGACTGAGGACAGATAGAGAGACACAGGAAGTAGTAGGGAATGGTTTGGAGAGAGTCTCTGCCCTTTTTGGATCGAGGAAAGAGAGTGAGGAGGAGGAGGTCACTGGTCACTTCTCCACTGCTTCTCTGATCATTCATGTTCTTACCCAGACATCTGACTCTCAAGTTTTTATTGATAAAGAATAACTAGAAAAATGCTACATTTGGTGCTCCAACACATGGCATGACCATATGGACAGAGAAGTCATGCCAGCCTGTACCTCTCTGCAGTTGTCCCATGGACCTCTCCAGGAGCACTCACAATAGTCAGCTGCTGCTTGCAGGGACTCTGGAAAGTGGGCTCAGCAACTTCCAAGAGCTGGAGCAGTAAACAAAGCTCCCCTCCCATACCTGCCTACATGAGGCTGGCTCTCAGGAAACCAAAGAGGTGGAGCCAGCTGCCAGAGCTGAGTGGCACAGGGCCTATTCACTGCCTAGCAGTTTAAATTTTGGCTCACATGGTCAGAGGATGCTTCAGATGCTTAGTAAAGCCAGGTCCAGGCCAAAAAAAAAAAACAAAAAACAAAACTCTAAATAGCTACAGAATGCTTTAAAAATGTGCTTAAATGCTAAAGAAAAAAAGAAAATGGGTATAGACAGTCATAGAAAAAATA